ACGAAACGTGCCGCAAGTGTAGGCCGATAAATACTTCAATCGTATTATACAGGGTGTCCTAGAAATAACACGCCAGAGTGACATGGGAGCTAGATTGGCTTCAGATCAATGAGATTAAATCAACATGATGTAAACGTTTTCTATTTTTGGAGATACTGCCACTTTGTGTAGCACTAAACACTAAATTAATCCTGCGCATGTGGTGCGCAGGTACCACCTCTGTTTCTCGTGGTGACATAATGCTACCACCGAACAATGAATGTGAAAGCGAGACAGTCAATGACATGTTTAGGTCGTTTCATTCCCTAGTGATTTGGTTACAAAAGACTGCTGCACTTATCTTTTATGTGCAGAATTTCGCGAGTATTACGACTTCAGTGATAAAACTTGGGGTTATTCAATTGTTAGTAGAAAGAACCTACAAATGTTATACTTTTAAAAGAGCATTACACTGAAACAAAATGTAACAATTTTTTTTTTAGCATACCGTGCTAGTTTTCAATTAAATGTATACTCGGTTATCTCAACCTACTATTAATGGTAGCTTAGGAAAAAAACCATAAGTTAGAAGTTCTTTATAGTCATAACTGTCAAAACGGGAGCAAAAAATAGTGATGAATAAAATATTTCGAAAACTAGAAAGCTTTTACTAAGGTCATGTTGATTTTACCTGATTGATCTGAAGCCAATCTAGCTTCCATGTCACTCTGGTGAGTTATTTCTGGGACACCCTGTATTTGCGCTGTCACACGATTGTAACGGTTATCTCACGGAAGATCTGCTTTAGTAGACCTTATGCGATATTAGGATAATTAATAAACAATAGTACAAAAGAGTATGTAATAAAAACTAAGCTACAAAAACCCAAAAATATTTTTTTTCCTTATGGAACTACTTGTCTTTATAATTTATACTGTTAAACAATAAAAATATAGCTTTCTGTAAGATTGTCGCTAAATAGTGGTTTCTGAAATATTCGGAAATGTTCGTTTTTCTTTTACAAAAATGGTTCATAAGGACAAAGATACAAATACAGGAAAATAAAGTGATTATTTATCGTCTTACGACAACTTTTCATTTTCATATTTTGATAATTTATTGGCAGTAGCTCATCGTTGGTAACTACGACCTCAACGGACGTGCAAGGGGTATTTTCCATGTGCCTGCGAATCAGTTTTTATAAGAGATGTTAATATATTATACCGAACTATTTTATTTGTACAGGGTGTCCCAGAAATAACTCTCTAAAGTGACACGGGAGGTAGATCAGATAAAATCAATATGACCTTAGCAGACGCTTTCTAGTTTTCGAGATATTTCCACTTTTAGGTTTTTTCAAAAAATCACTACTTTTTGCTTCTTTTTCGCCCGTTATGGCTATAAGCTTGTATAGTATGCGGAAACGCTCGATATACTAATTTTACTACCAGACTGTTCTGCCCAAAGTGTCAGAGTGATAGTTTTAATAACATAGTACTTGTATACTCATGCTGTTTGTACTTGTTCCAGGGACTAGGGCAGTTTGCTGAAATGTAAGTGCATTTAGGGTTTCCTTATTGGTGTCGGATTTACAGGTTGACGACTGCCCTCGCACCGACAGGGTGCCCCATTTAGATAGTTAGGAATAACTGAGAAAAGCCGTCAGTTCAGTAGAAACGTCAGGAAAAGTAATAACAAAACGCTATCACACGATTGTAAACTTTGAAAGTAGAGAGAAACTCTAAATAAGTGGTCGGTAGTAGCGAGTAGCTACGGAAATGTTAGGAAATTTTATTTGGGCACTCTGCCATGTGGGGGCACAACGAGGGACACAGACAACATGCCCTTGTTCACATATGCAGGGGCACTTCGAGGGATGCAGATGCCCTTGCGCATGCGGAGGTACATTCGAGGTAAATATGTTTTCGTCAACAGGATTTCCGAGTAATATATTTTGACAATTTATCGTCATTTTCTTTCATACTGCGAGACGTGCAAGCGATATTTTCCATGCGCGTGCGAACCAGGTTTTATAACAGGAGTCAATATAATATTAAAGCGAACTATTGTATGTATATCCATTTGTTCAACCAGATATTCGGAAACATGAGTACAATACAATGGAAGCAATTAAACTACGAACATAATACCAGCGTAACTTTTTTTTTAAATAGAAGAAAGCTTTATAGCCGTTCGCATTCGGTGACGCTTTTTCTTTCCAAACTGTGAGTGTGGGAGTTGTAATAACGTAGTACTGCTGTTTATACTTTTAACAGAGACTATAGCAGTTTGCTGAAGTGAAAGTGCATTTAGGATTTTCTTTGCCCTGACACTTTGCCATGTGGGGGCACATCGAGGGATACAGACAACATGCCCTTGCTCACGTATGCAGGGGCACTTCGAGGGATGCAGATGCCCTTACGCATACGGGGGTACATTCGAGGTAAATGTGTTTTCGTCAACAGGATTTCCAAGTAATATATTTTGACAATTTATCGACATTTTTTTTCATACTGCGGGACATGCAAGCGATATTTTCCATGCGCGTGCGAATCAGGTTTTATAACAGGAGTCAATATAATATTAAAGCGAACTATTGTATGTACATATATCCATTTGTTCAACCAGATATTCGGAAACATGAGTACAATACAATGGAAGCAATTAAACTACGAAAATAATACCAGCGTAACTTTTTTTTAAAAGCTGTTTATACTTTTTACAGAGACTATAGCAGTTTGCTGAAATGAAAGTGCATTTAGGATTTTCTTTGCCCTGACATGGTGCGACTTTTTGGTTGGGCATTCTGCGAGGGATACAGTCAACTCTCATCATCAACGATAAATATGTTTTTCTATTTTATACAGGACTTCTATGTTTTAGGTATTCTCGTACATTTTCCTTAAGTACTATTAGGCTTGGTTATTGCCTTCAACTAGCAAAGCTGTGATAAACTTCAACGATTGCACAGTGCAAAAGTCCGCCAAGAAGAGGGAAAAGTGACGGAGGGAATTCCTCTGGGTCCATGGTTGAGCTGTTAAACAGGGATCTAGGATTTAAAAGAACATCTCTAGGTATTTTAATATGGTGTTAATGTAAGTACACACAGGTATGGTGACAAGATTCACTCCAGCTACTGTATTAAAAACAATTACTTGTTACGCGAGACATATGGTTAAACATTTTTGGAGAGTCTTGGGAAACACATGGCTGACGTAAAATTGTCCAGTGTTTCTGAGGGATGAGATATGTGAGAAGTTCAGGTTTCATAAGTGTATCCGTAGATAATAAGTAACTAGATAAGAAGGTAGTAGTAGCAGTAGTAGTAGTTCTGGTAATACTTAGTGATAGTGGGGCTAGTAGTAGATTATTACGGCCAGCATGCAAAGTGGTTTGTAAAAGTTAGGTACTCACTCCATGTTGTGGCCCCCCGATGGTTTCCAAAACTATATTTATTATTATATGCTTTTTAATTATATTTGGTATTCACTATTTCTATTTTACTATCAAAATCTGGATAAAACACCTTTATTTATTGAGGAAACATATTTACAAGTAAAATGGTTCGGATTCTTAGGTATTTCATAGGTCTGGTGTTTATGATTATTTATGCTTAAAAATCGTACCGCATGTGTTTTTTTTTGTTTGTTTCAGCTTTTAGGTGAGAGTGAGAACTTTCAGTATTTCATTAATGGTGATGAAATATGATAAATATTGATGATAATGATGTATTCGTTATAATTTTAACTTTAACTCACATTAGGAATTTACTTTTGAGGTGCATATTTTACGAACATATCTATTTTTAGCTAAGATGTGATTGCACGTTTCTTTTTTTCACGTATGTTACAGGACTGCAGAACTTTCAGGTTTTTTTCAGAATCATAGCCCAAATATTTTTATCAAGCTTTGGAGGGCGACACTCTCAATTTCAGGAATGGTGCAAATTATAGACACTCCTGCGTGATAATCGTGATATAACGAATATTGATGATAATGGCAGCTGTCGCAAAAAATGTTCTCTCTGGATAGCTGGATGAATTTTTCATGGGCATACACGAGTAGAGTGAAGAGGAACAATGAAAACATGTTAAGAATGATTAAAGCACCGATGTATGTTGCAATACAGCAATACATGAAGACAGCAATCAAACGAACATCAAAATTGTTATAGGGTAAGCATTGGAGAGTACGGTATCAAGAAGGTTGGTTTTGAACTTCACGAACCACTGAAGCGTAGATAAAACTGTTGAGAAAATTGAAAACGTCCCCAAGAAATATATTTTCGAAACTTGTCCTAAGAAGGCCAAACGCTTTCCACTCAAAACTGTACTTAAATTTATCCTATTTTCCATGAAATACAGATTCAACCTTCTGGATGTTTCAAAATTAGCACAGGTGTTATTTAAATGTATACTAAGTGACATATAAATCCGAACACCCAGTTTAAATGGTTTTATTTTAATAAAATTTTGTATAATTACTTAATGAAGCATAATAAGTAAATGATTAAAATTTCAAAATGATTGCACTGCTTTAAAGCCCTTTGACCTTTAATAATGTGTGGATGCACCCTGATGTGCTACGCATTCTCCAACGCGCCTAGGCATGCTTCTGATCAGGTGGTCAATGTCCTCCTGTGGTATCTCATTCCAGGCAACCACCAACTCCTCTCGAAGTGCTTCTAGAGTCTGAGGAGGACGTTGCAAATTGAGCAATCTCCTACTCATCATATCCCACACGTGCTCAATTGGGAATAAGTCGGGAGATCTTGGTGGCCATGGTAACAATGTGACATCATTATGTTGAAAGAAGTCTATTGTGACTCTTGCAGCATGTGGTCGGGCATTATCTTGTTGGAAAGTTGGATCTGCCAGGGTGTCAAGATAGGGTAAAAGATGGGGTTCTAGAACTTCGTGGATATAACGCTGCGCGTTCATGTTACCTCTGATGAAGATTAAAGGTGACCTGGAACCATAAGCTATAGCACCCCAAACCATAACTCCAACAGTGTGATGAACATGTCTTTCAACAAAAAACTGTGGATTCTTCCTTTCACCACGTCGCCTTCTTACCCTTACACCGACGTAATCGCCTTGAGTGGTGCAGACAACGGTCACTCTGGGATCAGGAATGGAATAGGATCGTCTTTAGTGACGAGTCTCGATTTTGTTTAGGCATGCACGATGGTCGTGCCAGGATTAGAAGGCGACGTGGTGAAAGGAGGAATCCACAGTTTTTTGTTGAAAGACATGTTCATCACACTGTTGGAGTTATGGTTTGGGGTGCTATAGCTTATGGCTCCAGGTCACCTTTAATCTTCATCAGAGGTCACATGAACGCGCAGCGTTATATACACGAAGTTCTAGAACCTCATCTTTTACCCTATATTGACACCCTGGCAGATCCAACTTTCCAACAAGATAATACCCGACCACATGTTGCAAGAGTGACAATAGACTTCTTTCAACATAATGATGTCACATTGTTACCATGGCCACCAAGATCTCTCGACTTATCCCCAATTGAGCGGATTTATATGTCACTTAGTATATTTATGTGACTCTTTTTTCAGATAAGTGTGTGGATAATAGTTGTATGGTCTACTGCCAATATATTGATGAAGTTTTACGAAATATTTGCAGCCAGATTCTAAGCAAAAGCTTCTAAAAACGTTCACGATTTCCATACTTTTGAAGAAACTCAGGGACATATTTGGGAAAACAACATAATGACGCCAAAAGTTATATTTCTTCACGCCCTTGAAGATGATTGCAGGCTGATACATGGAGAATGAACATCAATTGAATTGATAATTGAAATAATGAAGAGGTACTTTTTACATAATCTTGAAACTATTTATTCTTCATCTTTCATTGACGTTTCACCCGATAAGTCAAGCTCATCAGGAAATACAGGGTGTTAAGCGGATATATTATAGAGGATGATTTCTTGTTAGAGTTCATGAAAAAAAGTTTCTATAAACAAGGGTCCGGATATGCAGAGTTTTCAAATTACAGCGTGATAAGTTAATTTTTTTTATTACCTTAAAAAGCATTCACTCGATTCTAATGGTATTGGCAGTATTACTTGTTGTATTGAGAGGCTAATTTAGCCCTAAATAGATTAAAATTATTAGGTCCAGTGGAGTTCAGGGGGCACCTTAGCGGATATTATTGTCGAAAAAATGTACGCCATTGCCTTTTTTGTAATTCTAATATTTGCTGCCTGATTAAGCAACTAAAAATACCACTTCTTTGCCTCTTGTATTTTTGTCGTATCTCACTTCGTTTTCCAGAAAAAAAAATATAAACCGTTTTATTGCATGTCACTGGACAAAATTGGCTTATTAATTTTTATAAATAATTTCAACAAGGAATCGCCCTCTAAAATACTTCCGTTAGAGTAAGAATCAATTGCGCACTATGCCCGCGCATGCCTTAACGTGTCAGGCATTCAATCTCAGACACTCTTGGCCAATCTCTCACTACTCCGCTAGAAAAAACTGATGATCCACTAGTTTGGTTGGAGAATATCAATTAGATGTTTCCTTCGTGGATATTCAACCAAATTGGGTCTCAGAAGAACGATAGTAGAAAGACAATAATTGTTACATTTATATAGGCTGATCCCTTTACCTTGCTCTTGTAATTGAATTTATCTTGCTGTAGTATTGATACTTTCTCTAGTTTTATCCTATGTTTCAACAGTCCTGGGTGGGTTTTAGCGTTCTTTTGGAGAGCTTTTGGCGACTTCTGGACTGTGGACGAGGGTAACGTATCAGGAATTTAAAAAAAAACGACAATAAAACTCATGCTTGCCTATCGTTTTGGAGGGCTGTCCGTCCCTTTTGGGAGAGGGACTTGTTGGCAATACGACAATATTTGAAATTCTTCAAATTCGTAGATTTCGTACTTCTAAATAACCACAACAAAATTGGAGTAGATTGGTCAAGTAGTTTTTGAGAATTTCTTATTGTTTATCCCAAAGCACCTGTTTTCCGGCAATCACTACTAGTTTATTGAGCAATATACAAGGTGCGTTCAAAAAACATTTAATAGAAAATACACGTGTTTACCTTGCCGATATGAATCGCAAACCATTCCGGAAGATAAATGTTATTTCTAAGCAAAAAGGGCGGGTTACGTTTTTTCTTGTAAACAAGTTCAAACATTTCGTATTTGTGAGTAATTCACAACAAAAGATGATACACACATCCGCTTTGTTTTAAAATGTGTATGGTAATGCATGTTTTTCGGATATCGTAACGCATTTGTTGAATTACTCACAAATACGAAATGTTTGAATTTGTTTAGAAGAAAAAACCGTAACCTTTGTTTTTCGCATAAAATAACATTCATCTTCCGGAATGGTTTGTGATTCATATCGGCAAGGTAAACACGTGTATTGTTATTAAACGCTCTTTGAATTAACCCTGTATATTGCTCAATGAACTGGTAATGATGGCCGGAGAACAAGTGTTTTGGGATAAACAACTAGAAATTCTCAAAAAACTACCTGACCCATATAATCTAATTTTGTTGTTGTTATTTAGAAGTATGAATCCTACGGATTTGAAGAATTTCAAGTAGTTGTGTGAAATTATCGTCGCATTATCAACAAGCGCCAAAACCTGCATTTTGCCTGGTTTTTCGGACATAACATTTTTCGTTCCTGTCAACACTTTCGATGGAATCCCAAAAAACACGTTTTCTCATTCTTTGTTGTCTAAAAGTTTCCCGACAAAAATTTGTGTTCCCATTTTATGCGTCCATGTTTTAAATACCCCCTTGAACAACTTGCACCAATAAAACCAGACCTAAAAGTTATTTCAGACTAGACTAAATAATATCATGAGTACATCTAATTTTTCTGAAAAAAAAATGGAGTGCGAGTGCTAGTGGCAACAAAAAAACCAGTTGAAGACGAGAATTTTTTCAACTGCACGAATGTTTTTTGTTAAAAAAGCATTACTTTGCATTGTGTTTTTTCGATTTTTTTCATAGGAAAAGATTAGATGCCCGAATGGTATTTGAGAAACTATTTCATGAGTAACAGATGATTCTGCATACACATAACTTACAAAACATACTACCATTGTTTAGCGTCATTTTCTGGTGTCCTAGGGAAAAATAAAAATGCTTATAATTTAGTTTGTGATACAATTTGCATTCATAAATAAAATTTCTCCGATTACAAAACGGTTATTACTTAAAAAATAGCCCTCGTATAAACCGTAACTTCTTCAATGCTACTTTTTTTAGGTTAATAACTGGCGATTTTCGATTGTGCAAATGAACCCAGAATTATGGAACGACTTGATTTTTCTTCACGTGATACAATTGAGTGACGGTTGAGGTTTTCTAGGGGTTTTCCTCGCCCGAGTGCGAATGCAGTCACTAAGAAACCACGTTCCCCTAATGAATAGTAGATAAAATGAAAATTGTACTTATCCTTTTAATGATCATGTAATTTTAGATCAAATAATCATTAAATATATTTATATAATAACCTTGTTTTTTTCCACTTGATGAGAGAAGTCCCGTATGCATAGGCAAAAAAGTATTTTATCCTATACAAAACCATATATAAAACTGGGAATTTATAAAAGTCTTTAGAGTTATAACGTTCTATCGCATAGAAGCCGGATCTGCTCGGTATGGGAATTAATAGAACAGGTACACAAAAAATTCATTCAGCGATAGAATTGAACTTGCAGAAGATTTCGATACTTGTCATTACTCAACGAATAAAAACACTTCGAACTTGTAAAACTGGCTGGTATTTCCAGGTAATTTGGTCACAACGCTGTGGCAACACTGTTGATGAACTAAGGGTATGTGGGACTAATAGAGATTTTTTCGCGAGATCCCGTAGAGAATCGGAGCGGGAACAGAATTTCCCCTTCCTCTCGAGGTTTTGACAGTTTCAAGTTACACCGGGAGTGGTTAGAAGGCGCATGTTGCGCAAAATGTTTGCTTTAAGCTCCTTGATAAACTTAGCTGCCTTGTTTGAATCTGAAATAAAAAGACCGATCGTTTTTTGTGCAATGTACATATACTCGTAAATCAATAAAATCAATCATTTGATATGACAAGTGCGGTTCATATACCTGTATCTTCGATTACCTTCTCCCTCGTCATTTAAAATCAGGTGGACGTGTTCCTCCATTTATGATTTGATAATTTAACTCAATTTTCGGCACTGCGAAGACAAATTTTCAATTGAGATGCATGTTTTTTAAATGAAATTGATATAAGACCTGTCACCCGCTAGTACCTTACAGACGTTAGGCGGGTACCCGCACCACGTGATTTTTTGACATTCAGACGACGTCACATCCGTCTTCCAATATTTGCGGTCTTCGCGAAAATTTGAGTATCGGTTCCCGGTAGTGCACTGTGCTACACCGTGGACTCGCGAAAAAATCCTTTATGTGAGTCAATATCCATATCAGACGTCGCGTGGTGTCTAGGTTAACCTAGTTTATAAACAAACCGCATTTGAAAAACTGAAACTGGCATATTTATGGAGCAATAACGTAATTATTATCGATTTGATATGAGCATCATCTTCCGCGAGCGTACTCAGCACGTCGCCGTCGCCATCGATGTTTCTTTCCATGACAGCTGCATATACAGGGTGTTCATTTGAAAACTTCCCACCACGGATTTATCGAAAAAAGATTTGTCAAGGGGGACAACTTTTTAAGCAAAAACTAACTACTTTACCTTCGCCTCCCCCCGCCCCCAGGGTCATTCTCTTGAAAATTTTGAATTATCAACGGTATCGAGTAATAGCTTGTTTGAAAGGTCTTTCGAAGCTCTTTATTTTGATGTTTGGTTTTTTAAAATCAATCAATTCGTTTTCGAGAAAATTAGAAAAATCTGTATTTATCTTAATTTGTTCAGATAGAAAACAAAAACTCACGAAAATATAACTTTTTATTTCAGTAAGAGTTCAAAATGTTGCCCGTTAGGGTTTGCCAAATCTACAATTCGTTTATAATTTAAAACGGTAACTACCAACAACCTGATTTTTTTCCGCATTCTTTTCATCAACACAGATATCCTGTATTTATTGTTATACCTGTTTAGTCATTGGTTGCTAAGGAAAAGAAATAATTCAATTCACTGTCAGTTACCTTTGTGACAATCTTGGGATGGTGAAAATTAATTTATTGTTTCAGATTTTACTTCCAAAATGTGTTCTATAACTTAATATACGATCGTTTATGTATTATTTATGTTTAAGTCTTCTAAAATAGCCCTTACTGTCCGTTCATGGTTGTAGCACTCCTAGTTCACAAAAAACTGAAAACACTAAGAACGTACACTACTCAAAAAAATTAAGGAAGCAAGAAAAAAAATCAAATTTTTCAGCAACTTTTGACTGGTTGTTTTTCGATGAGAAATGGTCGTAATTAGACTTTGAAAAAAGCATTAAGATTCTAGATTTCAGGTGTTTTAGCCGAAAAATATAAGGAGCAACGCAACAGCGAGAGGAAAAATTTTCGGGTTTCAAAAAATGGTTTCTCCGGACATATTGGTCGGAGTTTGAAAGGAATCAAACGAGCAACATTTTTGTATCAAAACATCCTGTAATCTGGTTGAAAATGGAAAAATTAGTATTCATCTTCTGTTGTCACTATTGGATATCTGTAACACCTTCAATTTTGAAAATAGCAATTAGAAAAATGTTGTGTATCCATGGAATATTCCAAAAAACAAAAATACTGACCAGGGGCGGATCTAGAAAATATTCAGCCGAAATGAATAGGATCCGACAATGAATGTGCATCATTTTCAAACTATAAGCAATTAATCCGGAGAAACCGTACAATGGATCGATCTGCCGTCGTTATTAGTTGTACATTAAGGTACAGAAAACATTAGCCTTGTCATTAGCAGATCTAAGAATGCGGTCGATTTTCCAAAACAAGGCAAAAAATAAGTTTTTCCGTTTAAAAATCAATGGAAACAAAAATATATTTTTTTCTCAAAGATTGCAACTAAATCTTATGGGAGTTTTCGTGAATACATTACATTCTCTGTGTTATCATATCGAGATTTTAAAAACAGGATATTGAGGCTGAATAGACAAGCTATCTGATCAATATGATAGCCTGACAGAAAAAAAATTGTTCATGCTCTTGTACTAAAAAGAAGGCAAACATGTTTCAAAAAATTTCCCTTGCGCTATCTGTTAAAATTGCGTGGAACTGTTGCCCCTAAAAATTTTCCTCTAAAAAAACAAAACTAGAATCCTACATCTTGAAAATGCCTTTTTTAAAGTTTTCTCACCGAAATACAGCCTGTCAAAAATGACCGAAAATTTGAATGTTTTTCTTGCTCCATTAATTTGTTTCAGTTGTGTACTTTTTATTAAAGTTTTTCATTAAAAAGCATTTATTAGTTTATCTAAACTTTTAAAGTTTCTTTATTAGAATTACAATAAAAGTCTTTGTACCTATATAATGTGCGTTTTTTTGGTATTTATTGAAAAAGTAAAGGGGGACATGAAAATATAATTTATAGTCCGGGGAGCCTCAATAACAAAAAAAAAAGGTTGGGAAACCCTGCTCTACCGTCTATGGCTCTACAGAATACTGCTCCTCGTTTGATCGAGATCGAGCTGAAAATATTCATAGACAATCTCAATTTTTGACGTTGGTATTAATATACGTCTCCTACTCCAGTAATTTTACGCACATATTAGGCATATCTCACCATCCTTAAAACTTAGAAACAGTCGCATGTCGGTGCGTGCGACGTGGTCCACCGATGGACGAGCGTCGTACTTCACAGTCGGCAATCGCTTACGCACTGCTATGGGCTGTGAGCACTGTGCATTGTGAAGATTGGTATCGTCATTCACGCGGGATTGGTCACCAATCATGTGCGCCTGAAGGAATTTCTCGCAGGGGGAGGACATTATCTGGGACACATTTTAGGAGAAGCAAAGAGGAATAGTGGTCTGGCATCTCTAATTTATAAATTTATAATGCTTTCCTAATATCCGTCACCAAAGACTAGCGTTTTCCTCTCTCAGAGATCGATATGAAGAAATGGGAACAGTGCATTATAAGAAAAAGGTAAATGTAACAACTGAAGAATGTCGATTAGTCAAGTTTTACTAACATCGCAAGAAAACCCGAATTTAAGCGTGAGGGTAGACACAAGGCTGACATCAGCTAGAGTTCTGTCCAAAGAATGATCAGAAAATATAAATACCATGTGAATCAACGGTATAAACGCTGAGCTATTCACATACAATCCGATTTCGTTACCTCTAGGCGTATTACCAGCGATCATTTGGCCGACGGTTGGGGACAAATTTTGCCCCCAATCGAGACGCTGGTAATGCCTTAAGATCTTTGTAATATTTCAGGTCAATAGGTTAGGCAAAATAAATAATAGTCTTATCTATGTATAAGCTTTATTCTACTGTGAAAAAAGTATGATCATATAAAATACTTAACTCTGATCTGTATAATCAAAAACACTAACGACAGTAAGTTCTTTAAGTAACTCTTCGGTTGTGGTGTCATTTTCACTGAAGAAGATTACTGTCTTGTTTTTCTCTACAAGCACGAAACCATTATCTGAAAATGTGCCTCGAATTTGGTGCGAGTCTAGTGTTACAAACAACGCAATGTTTTCTGATGTCACCTCAATGTTGAAGATTTTATCCGCTCCTTTCTTCACCGATGATATCTAAAAAGAGAATTTTTCGTCAATTCATGTCATAGTTGTTGTAAAGTCAAATTTTCTGGAGCATGTATTGCAAACTGTACACTTAGTAGCAATATTATATAATGTCCCAGAGAATACTTAGGGATTCCAAAGAGAATGAATATAATATTGAATATTTTAGGAAAAAGCTTTTTATTGATAGGCAGATTTAATCTTGTATATGTCCTCCATATCGTGCAATCAATTCTGCACCTTTTACATAACGCGGTGAGGCATAGCTAGTTCATTTTCCCCTACTTCGTGACGTATACTTTTTCCAACGGTGCTCTTGGGGTACTTCCATGTAAAGTTATCCACGGAGGTCAATTCAGTTATCGCGGTAGGTAAATAATATCACCAAAACGAGATATCAACATTTGTGGAAGCAGCTCGGCAAGTTAGTTCATAGGGACGCTTATAGCGTAGGTTAAACCACGTCGGTGATTTTTTTTTACTCCGAAGTAGCCGCACAGGCAGAAGCCTAAATGCCAGGGCACCGTGACTACTATGAGCATCCCAAAGAAAACCTGTTAATTCGATTTTTGAACTACCTAAGGTTAGTAGAACTGGTAAAACCCTATTCATGTAAATTGTTCCACAATTGCTGGACTCTAGAAATAAAGGAGCGGTCGTATCGGCCAGTTCTAGATGTACCATGTTCGACTTGGTTAGGATGAAAGGCGGAAGTCAGGCGAGTGTGCCTAGCAGACACATCGCGTGGCGGCATCATGGAGGAAAATGTTGTTTAAGCTGGATTATATAATAATATACAGA